TTCAAGAAATCCCCGGGAACGAAGAGAAACAAATGAGGGAGCTTTTAACAAAGTCCATGGAAATGACAAGCAATGCTCTTGCTATGGTTGCAGAAGTTTCTTCCCTTTTTACGACCATTGGAGGCGAAGAACCCCGTGCAAACGAGATGAACAAACGTCGTCTTCTGTCAAAGAGCAGAGAAAACTTCCCGAATTGGGTCAGCTCCGGAAGGCGTAGGCTTCTCACAGCCAGCCTCGACGAGGTGAAACCAAACCTCATCGTCGCCAAGGATGGATCCGGGAATTACACGAGCATCAATGATGCCTTGAAAAACATTCCTACCAAAAGCGATGAAACGTTTGTTCTCTACATCAAGGAAGGTGTTTATGAAGAACAAGTTACCATTTTCCGCAACATCACTCATCTCACCATGATAGGCGACGGTTCAAACAAGACAAGAATCACCGGATGGCTGAACTTCATTGACGGAATCTCCACCTATCACACTGCCACCGTTGGTAAGTAAATAAACAAACATATAAATCCTCTCATTTATTTTTAACTACCATCTAAAATCTATAATGTATGAAGTTTTCTCCTTCAAAAGATAAAATCTATAATGTATGTAAATTGCAGCGGTTCTTGGAGATTACTTTATGGCCAGGGACATCGGATTTGAGAACTCCGCCGGGCCGGAAAAGCACCAGGCCGTAGCTCTGAGGGTGGGCGCAGATAAATCCATCTTCTACAACTGCAAGATGGACGGCTACCAAGACACCCTCTACGCCCACACCTACCGCCAGTTCTACCGGAACTGCGAAATCTCCGGCACCATTGATTTCATCTTCGGCGACAGCGCCGCCGTGCTCCAGAACTGCACCATTGTGGTCCGGAAACCTTTAGACAATCAACAGAACATCGTGACGGCCCAGGGACGAAAAGACCCGCACCAGCCCACTGGGCTCGTTCTGCAGAACTGCACCATCGTGGCCGACCCGGCTTACTTCCCCGTCCGGTTCACCCTGAAATCGTACCTCGGCCGGCCATGGAAGGAGTACTCAAGAACCGTCATAATGGAATCGTACATCCCCGATTTCATCCAGCCGGAGGGATGGCTGCCGTGGGCGGAGGATTTCGGGTTAGAGACTCTGTTCTACACAGAGTTCAATAACAGGGGACCCGGAGCTTCAAAAGAGAACCGGGTTGATTGGACCGGAATCAAGGAGCTTCCCAAGAACCAAATCAAACGGTTCACCGCCGGGAAATTCATCGACGGGAATAGCTGGATTCGACACTCCGGCGTGCCGTACAATCACGGACTGATTTACTCAGCACCGAAGAAGGACAAATCGGTGAAGTACTCGCACGTAGACGAAGACGACTTCGAAGATATGGGATCTAAGGAAAAAGACGCTTATGTTTCTCGCCCCGCCCTGAACTCAATAAGTGTTTCCCCTTTCCCGGCTCCTTCACCGGCCCCTTCCCCGGCCGAATCTACAACTCCGGTTTATCAATCTCCGGTAGAAGCGCCTAATAACGATTGGAATTAAACTGACACGTGTCATTTTCATACTCAAATAGTTTAATCTTTTCGCTTTTTGTTTGTCGCGGACACCGGATCGAATGGTGGATGAGGTTAGGGAAGAACTATGATTTGTATACTCACTAATGTCACTATAGTATATACTACTCGTACGCAATACGGAGTATACTTTAATGTGCGTGAAAATCTAAAATATACGGATTATTCTTTAATTCTTGTAGCATCGTAACTTTTGCACTATTCAAATACCTTATTTTGACCATTATTTTCTACTAATATACATAATCAAATTATTTCGTATAAAATGTTATTGAATTTCTATCAATGTGAATTTCAAAAATATCAACTTTTTATAATGTTTACTAATATATAATTAAATATAACTACAGTCACAGTTATGCGTTGGCAAATGTGAAAGTCAAAGTGTTACAAGAATTAAAAAACAGAGGATAGTATTTAAAAGGATTTGTTAGGCTTGTCAAAAAAGGGCCCGTAGAGATCCCCGCTTTGCCTAAGGCATTTGGGGTGGATCTCCACTGTCTTGCAAATGGGACAGGTCCGTCCCGTCACGTCCATACGATGGGACGAGTTTGGGTATTAGTATTGGTCTGTGTTGCCCGGACTATCCTCGACCTGCCCTACTCAATATAGAAATACATATCCCTTTTTATATTTAAATTCACATTTATTGTCAACTGTTTTTTTTAATTCACATATATTCATTTATTCATAAATAAATAGTTAACTATTCAAGACTATATCGTATTCTTTCTTAAATTTTGAAAATGTTTATTATAGTGTGACTTTGATTTATTATGTTTGTTTTTTATAATTTTTTGGAAATAAATTTTAAGTAAATTTCCAAGTTTAATGACTTCACACAATTAGAGCATCTTTAATGGGGATATGGATTATACTCCAAAATAAATGGACGCATCATCAATGTAGACGGCCATGAAGTTGACGTGGACACACACCCATTTAAAACTAAAATTACGTCTCCAATGATAAAGTGGTTTTGTGTAAATATCTTTGAGGTATTCTCTAAATAAAAACATTTTGTTTGCTCCGCACTATCATTGTTTTTCTTTCTTCTCCAAAGCAACAACAAAATCAGGGTTACATCTATAGGAATATATTCCTTACTTCTTGTATACAGAGTATATGGAAAATTGTATTCAACAGGAACTCTAGCGAATACAAGGAAATTCGGGTCATATCCACCCGACAAGCGACGACGACGCCTCACATTCGGTACTGGTGGACCGCGGGGTGGACCAAGCTTGGTGGCGACGATGAGGCCTCACATCCTATTTTCAAGGTTGGTGGCGTTGGACAACGGGCTGCGACCAGATTCCAGAGGTTGAGATATCGTGAGTTTAATTCCTTCTACACGGGTGTGCTCTCGGTTGTGTGGAATTGAATTTTAATGTAGATGATTCCTTGATTGCTACAACTTTGAAGAAGATGTCAAGAAGATAACTGAATTGAATTTTAATCCGGAAGATGCAAAACTCCAAATGTACTCTTGGAGCTTTATTCTGTCAAATTAAATTAGTTGCGTTTTGCCGGAAATTTTCACATTTCCATCAATATTTTTGTTTTTTGATTGAAAAAAATCTTTTGATGCTGTCTCATCATGTCTATCACGCCTTCTACAATCAGAAAGAAGAGTGGACATAGTGGACGGTTATTTAGTCCAACTCAGCGCCACTTAAAATGTAGACACTTCCATTGGAGAGTAAATTTTAACCGGACTATATGTTTTGCTCACGTGGGAATGCATTGTCTAGCAATCCATATTACCATTACGAATGCTCTTAGAAATGTGCACTAGTTATTGTGTTACAACGGACCTGCATGGGGCGATTCATGGGACACCATCTATTGATCTCTGCGGGTCCGGATCCTGCACTACCCGGCCAGTGGTCCGCCCCAACCCATTGCCATGTCTAGGATTTTTAGTGTTAAACAATTGACATGTACATAGCAGGGTGTTTGTATTTCGGCTTATTGGAAGCAATGCACTGCAATTTTGCAGTGGTTGACGATGGAAAAATGAAGTTTTGAGGTAAAAAACTATTATCCGAACACCCCACTGTCTTGTAGCAGACTGGTGTCTAAACATCATTGTACAAGTATACATTGTGAAAACATTGTCATATAAAATTAAAATAAAATAAAATAAAAGTACTCAACTAAGCAATGTCATTTTCACATTACTTTATAGCTTATAGTTGGTCATTTAGAAAAAGGGAGTTGAGATTTTGAATTGAAAAACATCAGTCATTTCGATACAATATCATGACATAAATTTAGCCTCTTGTGAGGAACATTGCTAGTAAACACTCCAATCCTATTAGTTGATATTATAGAGCTTCTAAGAATGTTATATTTCCTCTATTCACTTTTAATTGCAACAATCAAGATTTCACGTTTACCAACACACAAGTTTGACAATTAATATCTTTCATTCCTTATAAGTAAAAATTTAAAAATTCATATTTTGAAAATTTAGAATGAGAAGAATTTAACAATATTTTTTAAAATTTTAATTTATAATACATTAATTCATAAAATATCGTCAAAGTAAAATACTATCGTAGGAGTAGGAGAAAAATTAATTAATTAAGTTCGAAAAATACATTTATAACGCCGTTAGAAATACTACTCCGAAAAGTTTTAATTTATAATACATTAATTAATAAAATATCGTCAAACTAAAATACTTCGTAACATTTAACGATATTTTTTAAAATTTTAATTTATATACATTAATTAATTTTGAAGTATATGAATAGTGCAGAAAGTTCAATGTTGCAATTAAAAGAGAACGGATGTAATATTTGTTGATATAGGCTCATATAGCGACTATGAAGTCACCTTAAAGGTGAAAATACTTGTTGAAAGTAACAAATTTTGCTAAAATTATACTCCATACGAAGTATTATGAATGTTATAGTACAAGTAGGAGCATGTGGTTTGGACCATTTTCAGATAGGAGCATGTGTTTCATTTTTTAACATAGTGGAACATGTGTTTTAGTTCTATTATCACAGCTGAGGCATGTCGTTTAACGCCGTTAGAAAAATTAACTCCGATTTTCAAAGTCTCCGAAAAATTAAAAGAAAAATACTAGATGCGCCTCACCAAGAAGACCTCAAAACATTACTATGAAATTATGTATGATGATTTATAAATAAAAATGTGGAGTTACGATATAGAAAAAAGTCCATCGTAAACACTCACCGTTTTATAAGCAAACATTCCAGCCTAGCTGGTTGTGAGGTTACCGTGTCTAATGGGGGGTCTCGAGTTCGAAACCCGCTAGACATATAAGGGTTTGAAACTCAATAGAGTGAGTTTCAGACTTTCAGCCCAGATTACTCCTGCCCCCCAGCCCCCCTCCCCCAAGCCCCCTCGAGTAAAAAAAAACACTTGGCATTCTATTAAACAAGGTTTAATAAGCAACGTTTATCAAGCACTAAAGTAAACATGTCCTTAAAGGACAGTTAATCGTGAATAATATGATTTCACAAACGACAGTGGCATTTATATATAGTAAATTAGTAATAAGGATGAAGAGTTAGAGAAGAGAATACAAAACAAGCAATGGTATACCAGCAACTTTTGAACCTACAACTACACATTGAAGCACACATTAAGGTACTAATCTACTTTTTATCTTCCACTTGCCTTGCTTCCCTGGCTTGAGAGCCTGAGCTCAATTTTCTGACAGTGCGTTGGATAGATGCCTGTTTGTAGCGATGTCTGCGGCTTCTACGTCGGCTGCATCGTCCAACAAAAGCATCAGTATAGTAAACGGGTGTTTTACTTTGAAAACCCAAAAGCAATGTTTATAACCAACTTATGGGGAGGGGTGTTTTACACCTTTTCTATTACACAAACGTTGAGTAACCTACATCATTTGTAAACACAATAAACTTTTACTATTAATCACTTTTCATATCATCTCAAATAAATCACTTCTCAAATGCAAACATTCCTTAAGCATGTTAGATGTTGTCAAATGTTGAGTAACCTACATCATTTCTTTGATCGGGTTGAGTCTAATTTGTAATTGTCAGGTAAACCTCACACCTCACTTTGGAGTGAGTTAGGTCAGCTTGGTCTGAGAACCTGATCTCAATAGCACAGTAAAGAGAGAAAATTGGGCAGGCCGAAGAAAAAATTCATTCATATAAACTTATATAAAAGTTACTTAAAAGTTAAAACTATGAGTTTAACCAAAAATAGGGTGGGACCAAGCCAGGGAAGGCCTTCCTTGGAAACACCCATGCCTAGTCAGATGATGGTTTCAACGGTTTTCACCCACTCAAAGGTTTGGGGATGCCCGTTTCGAGTCAATTCAACCCATTTCTCCACCCCTTTATTGGTAGAGCCTGCTTTGGGCAAAGAAGTGTGTGTTGATTATCACATCTGTTGTTGCAGGGTTTGAGTATAATATTCATCCATTTACAAGGTTTGAGTCATCTTATTCATGTGTCAGACAACATCACCTCTTGAAAATCTATTTAAGGTGAGGTACCCCAATTTAACTTTAAAGAAAAATACGAACCACCCCATTTGTAGCTATTAGTTGATGACACCGTCTATTGGTCTAATAACCCGAAGTGACCTTAATAGATAATAGTGACTACTGGTCCTTGATGAGAAGGATACAAGCACTAATACTGAAAATACTACTACGCTTACCTGACAAATAGAAGTCCTGCCGTCAGAACCATTCCTCCTATTGCCCAAGATACCCTTTCGCTGAAAAAAATGTCTTCTACCCAGTGTTTGAAACCTTCCAGTGTACTTGAACTGTGAGCAGTTTTGGCAAACTTGGAGTTTGAGATTCCCCACGATTTAGCAGTGGAGTCCCTACTAGATTTGCCTCCATAGCAAGACATTTCTTCTGGATCATCACTCATAGGTTTGACTGAGAAACCGGCAATTCGGCAGAGTTCTGTTCCATTGGAGATCCATTCTGAGGCCCTGCCGCAAACAAAGTCATTCACTCCGCAAGGTGCAAGAACCTGACAAGCAATTTCATATTTAGACATGATGTATGTAAAGGACTGAAACAAGTAGTAGTATTGCAAAAATAGTAGTAGTATGGGAGTGGTACCAGTTTAGTCCCTCTATTGTTTACTACTACCTCCGTCTGACTAGAGACTTATAGGGTATGAGAGAGTGGCACACATATTAACTATTAAAGAAAATGGAAATGTGTAGTTAATATTGAACTTATAAAATATGAAACATCAATGAGTTTAACAGCACATATGTTCCCAAATATTGTCAGGTAAAACCTTGGTGAAACAAACGAAAAAGGAATGATGGATTAAAGATAGTGGGACAGAGGGATATTACTAAATTTGGTCCTTGATCCTTTTTTGGACTCAATTTGGTAGTTAACTACACAGTGTAGATTCAATTTAGCTCTCAGGGCATATTTTACTCTAATTGTGAAGGACAATTTTATCCACCAAGGAACAAATTGGCTCATCAGTTAATTTAGGGCAAACCAAATCAACAAATGGTTTAAAACATAGTGAAACCGTGAAAAATCATTCTTGCAAGGAAACAAATATGCATGAGAACTAAAACAGGTCTAAATGGCATACTAGAGGAATAGGGGGGAAAATTGAGTTCACAAGAAAGCCTAGGACCAAATTGAGTACGTGTGCAATTGAGGAACTCATAGGCACCAACTTCTTCAAAGTATTCCAACAAAAAGGCATTTATCTCAAATGTGCAAAGTAACATCATAGATGTGTAAACCTGTGTCTTTGTATCAACTGCAAAGTATGCACTTGAGCAGGCTTGGTACACTCTATCACAGAGAGAGGCACATATAAGTGGAGGTCCTGGCTGGACCCCAACATATGGATCACATATAGAGCATTCCAACGCTTCCCACAAGTGTAAACACTCTTGGCTTGCTTCTCCTGCAGAAGCCAACCTCCTAATGGACAACAATGTAGGATGCGTTTGGGTTACATCACAGCAAGTCTTCCCCCGAAACACCCTGCACAGGTTCAAATCTCTTGGCCCTTTATTTACCTTCCTTGGAGGTTTACCTTCATTGGAAAATCTAGGAAATCGACCACCAGGTGATATACAAACTCCCTCATCTTTACCTGAATTGTTTTAGATGGAAGACTTTTTATTTCTTATTTTTTATTAATAAGTTATAACTTATATATAGAAAAAGCTGTGTCAATATAACTCAACCATAAACCCCAGTTTCTTCTCTGGACATAACTCAACCGTAAACCCCAGTTTCTTCTCTGGACATAACTCAACCATAAACCCCAGTTTCTTATCTGGACATTGATGACGTACCTTTAAGCGCTGTTAGTAAACCGTTAACAAAGAGTCTGTTATTATAGTTTCCAACTTCAGACTAGAACTATAATTCAATATAATAAAATCATCAGATCAAATGATTCACATTCCTTATTGCTTCAGATTTTGCAATGAAAGATGAAATATTTTAAACCTTTCCATCCCGTTCAGCTTAGTCAAATTCCAGACAAGGCAGGCTATGAGGGAATAGTCCACAAAAACAACCGATCTACTAAAAAATCAATCGGCATACAAGATAAAAACAAGGGTTTGCATTAAAAAATTAGGGTTTTTTAGTTTGAAAGTCGTCATCGCCGAAGATCAAAAGAAGAGCGAGGATTTACCGGCGGCGAGATTGGCAGATGCAAGGAGTAGTATCAGAGCATAGTACGAATACAATTTCATCATCCAGCGACACTGCTGATGTGTAACTTTGTTACTCGTATTACTTCTCCAGTTCTCCGTACTTTCCTGTCTGTTTATCTATCATTCAAACTCATGTTCCTTATCCCCGCTCTCAAGCAAGTCAACTTCTGACTTAGAGGAGTTTCAATCAGATTCTAATAGGGAATAATTTCTAAGATTGTAAGAATTTAAACAAGTTTACATTTTTAGTATACATTTACTCTTATCGGGTGTCCCTAACAATGATTTCGTGAATTTTAAATGGTCGTGGATTCTATAGATTTTAATAGAAATTCATAGATTCTAAAGGATATTAACATGATTTTATGGGATTATAAATTCTGGATTTATATAGATTTTAAAGGCTTTAGTGAATTGTGAATACTAATGATGGGTTACATCACTTGGATTAGTAGAAAATCACAAAGAATTTGAAGTAATTCTAGAATGAGAAAATTGTGTATTAATTTTAACAATAATTGTAAAATTGAAATATTGTATCTCAAAAGAGAATGCATTATTTATAAGCAAAATACAAGACTTAAACTATAAGTTAAAAAAAACAAGCTAACTAGAAGATGACGGCCTCTTGGAAAACAGACGTCAAATGGTTGGTGCATCATGCTGATGTATGATGACTTCAGCAATAATGTCAGTCTTTGGGAATGGAACTTTGGAAACTAGATTGTGATCAAGGGAGTAGCCAGAAGTGAGGGTCGAGGTGGGCCGGTACAAAGATTATTTCATATAATTTTTTACACGTAAATTTTTACATTAAAAATGAATAGATTTTTAAAATTAGGGGAAGGCTCGGGCCCGGTCCTTATCTCTACATCTGCCCCTGAGTGTGATGTAAGCTCTGGATACAAATGTCTAGGGCGCTCCGGAGATGGTTAAGTGTGAAAAGTGTAACTGAGTCAAGATGAAATCCTGAAATAATGATGATCACGCTCAACCTCCCCAACGTAGCTCAACCCATAATAGAACAGACTTGTTACCAGAGCATTGGGCCTAGACTACAATAGTGGTCTTGGCACTGGGCCTCAATCCAGCGTGTCAATGATATGGGCTCCTCATTTAGATCGCTCATCTCTACAACCTTGGAGTATATGACAATATACTCCGTGAAGTATACTTATTTTACTAATAACCAAGCAGGGTACCGAATTGCAAGAGGAGAGTGTGGACCAGAGAACGAGAAAGTAGAAACATACAAGAACAACAATAACAACAATAACAATAACACCCAAGCCTTAATTCCAAAAAAATTTGGGGTCGACTGACATGAATTGATCTATGATATCGAGGCCAAAAAGAGAAGACAAACAAGAAAAAACGAAAATGATAAAGATAAATAAAGGAGAACGAGAAGCATAAAAGAATGTAAAATAAGGAAAGTGAACTACTCTGGTGAGGATATCATCAAGCCCTTTCTCTATGAAAAGGATTTCCATTGCCTTGACCCTTCCATGCAGCAACAGACACATGAATTTCCGATATGAGGGGTGACATTATATAAAATAGAGAAAACTGTCAAATAGGTCCTTGAACTTTCATAAAAAGGTCAATTAAGTCCTTCTAAAGGAGGTTCCGTCCGGCCATCGCGATTTGGGGCAGTTCCCGGTAGAAATTTTTGATGAAATTATTTGAATATCTTATTCATCAAGTCTAGTTTACTCATACCAAATTTCAGCTAAAGATTCAACCGGGAACATATTCAAATTACTTCTTGAAGATAACTGCGCATTTTTGCGTTCTCGAATTAATTTGAATGCGCTCCCGATTAAATTTTTAGCTAAATATATCTAGGAGAAAAAAAGAGAGGGCAACAGGCCCCATTTGCCCCCTTTGGAGTTTGGTCAGCCACGGCTTCCTCGTTCCTTTTCCCTCCCCATTTCCCTTTCCAAGACTTATTGCTCAAAGGCATGAAACAGTACCAAACTCTTTTGGTTGAGTTTTCAAAAATTGTGTACGCAAGTCTTTATCATAGTTTGTAATAATTGCATATAATATGTCTTCCTCATTCCATCTGGCTCCCCTAATCTATAATACGTAGTATGTACCTTCCTTACCATGTTTTAAATAGAAGTTTTGGATGCTTGTGTAAGCTATATATTCACCAATAAGTGTTACGTGCATTGCAAATTCCAAATTCTCCCCTGACTTTTTAAAAAAACAGTCGAGACTAGTCGTTTTTAAAATCTTTTTACAAAAAATTCCTAGGACGCCAAAATCATACATGGTTTTGGAGTTCTCAATAGTTGGAACTTGGAACTTGGAATTCAAATTTGAATGTTCATCGTTAATCTAACATGCAACTTGGCACATTGCAGTGAATTCATTAAAAAAATCGCAAAAGTTTGCTAAAAAAATTGGTGTATGTTATATTTGGGCAACTCAATTCCTTTTTTCCTGAGCAGACATTGTGGAAATGAGAAAGGAAGAAGCAAAAACAAGCTCTTATTCTTCAATCTTCACTATGTCAAGGAGAAAACGCTACACTGAAAATGAGAAAGGATAGATATTGCACAAACACACTACATATTTTACAGCTTGTACCAAGACCGACTTGACGACTTCCACCGGAACCATGCAAAAGGGAAACACCAAGGACAGGGGACAAAACGACGTATTTACATTAGCTCGACATCCTCTGGCAAACATACAAAAGACATGGTATCTCTCTGCTACGTTCAACACCACCTCAGGGAGAAGAAAAAGGGGTAGCATTGGCTGCCTCATATTTCACAGGTCGTAAGGAGGAGGAGGACTTCTGGGTCCAATACCTCGGGCGTTCTCGTACGCAAATGATGCCGATCTCTTCTTGAAACGATACGCCTCTCTCCCGCCTGCACCTGCATGTATGTAGAGTAACAACAAATGTTTCTTATCAACACCCTTCCCCGGTCTGAAGCTAGAGCAAACATTCTTCTTATATAGAAATTGGATTTCATTTCCTAGTCTAAATTAAATGTAAGAAATTTGTGTTTTCAAATATTATGTCAGACTCTAAACAACAACGAATAGGGCCTATAAAATTTGATGGAAAAGTATACACTATAAGATGTTTTCATTTAAAATGATTTTTTCTGGTCCATTTTATTTAAATTTGATTTGGTTTATTTATTGTCTTTTAATCTGTACATGTAAATTTTATTACGGAGTATTATCTAAATCTGGATGATCTTTTTTATGGCATGTTTGGTAACGGCCGAAACGTCTGAAATGACCGGAATTGCAGAAGTGAAAATGTTTGACACTCCGTATATAATTACCAAAAAGTCTATTTGTTTTTTGTATTTTGACTATATGCGTATCTTTGCTAGTAAAATCCTTTTCACTGATATGCTTAAACTAATTTTAAAAATTACACTTTATTAATTATATTAACAAGCTAAGCTCACAGCCTCACATGCATATAAATAAAAAATGGGACATAAGTTAAACATTAGTGTCAATTGGAACTTTAGAAGTATACAAAAATAAAAGTTAATGGTTTGCAAGCTACATATAAATTAAACATAAAAGTATAAATGAATTAAAAAACAACATTTTTAGGAGTATTAATTATATTAACAAGCTATGTATAAAGCTTTATTGCAAAATATTAAAGGAGACAAAGAAGTCAATTAACAAGTTAATGGTCATAAAATAAATTTCATCCTAAAAAGTAAGCCTTGAGCTATTTTTTAGATAATAAAAATTAGCCAAATCACCCCATTTGAAGGGGTTTTGGTGATTTTTATGTATATTCAAGCTTTTCAACTTTGAGCACACTTGGTGACCCTATTTCCATCTTATCAATCAACTCTTTCAAAAAAGAGAGAATTCCCTAAATAGAAGTAAAAAAATTTTGAAATTCCAAAATAGGAGTATCATGTTTTTTATTCTTTGAATAAGAGTAAATTTCTGCCAAGTTTGGCATCACCAGGCCTTAAAACATGACATTTTTTTTTCAAACTTGTCAGATTATTCCTATTCAGGGAATAAAAAACATGATACTCATATTTTGGAATTTCAAAACATTTTTGCTCCTATTTAGAGCAATTTCTATTCAAAAAACACGGACTCCCTCAGTCCAATTTTGTAAGATACTTTTCCTATTCACTTAATCAACACAAATCACTCTTAATCTCTTACTTTATGAATCAAATTTTTATCAAATTTGACTCTGGTTTTTGCAACCTTGTAAAACTTTTAATGTAGTTTATGAATGTGTAATTCTTTTTTCTAAAAATAATTTGAGTGCAGACAGAGATCCGTTTGCTTTATCGTCGATCAATCACCGTAAACCGTAAAGTGCCTTACAATTCGGGACGGAGGGAGTAACTTTTAATTCGCCGATGAATTATGAAATACTCCCTCCGTCCCTCTGTCCGACGATATAGCAAACAGATCCCTGTCCGCACTCAAATTATTTTTAGGAAAAAAAAATTACATATTCAAAAACTATATTAAAATATTTAAAGAGTCGCAAAAACCAGAGTCAAATTTGATAAAAATTTTATACATAAAATAAAAGATTAAGAGTGATTTGTGTTGACCAAGTAAATAAGAAATGAGACAATAACAGGGAGGACGGAGGGAGTACTACCTAATAAGAAAAAGTAAATTTAGAGTTAACTAAAACCCTAAAGCCTAACAAAATGTTGTTACCACTAAAAACCCTAACAAAATGTTATTTTGCTAAAGCCAAAAAAGCTCAAAAGTAAAGGAAAATAGCATTGGGTTGTTAGCAACAACATCAAATGATGTGGATCCGACGTATACGGGATGTCCCCATCGAGCATTATTGATCAAACGATGTCTCATGTCTACCCAATAAAATGAACTATCCAATGACGCCAGCTAGGACCCAATGAGATAAGTCACTAACACAAAAGAAAGATTAGATGAAAATATGCTTTAGATAAAATAATTTAACTGATTAACCACCACCGATTTCAAACTTATTAGCCAAAATTTTCACGAATTGTGTAATAATTTGATTAACTTTTGATTTCTTGCGTTGAATTGTGTAATAATAAAAATAAGGAAGGAGAGACATTTTAGATATTTTCATATAATTTTTTCTTTATTTTATTAAAAAAATATTCAGTTTAAACTTAATTTTTTCAAAATTCAACATTGAAATTCCGAACCAGAGATCACCTACTGCGGACACTAAGTGACGATCAGTGTTTGATCAGTGTTATCAAAAGGCTCTGTATTTTAAACAGGATCGAGGAAACAATGTATTGTCTAATAGTCCAAAATAGCGTGACAAAGCAATATAGTCTTCCCATTAATTTGGGTTAAGGTATGATCACAATCAAGAAAAAGTTATGATTTTGAATAGAGTATGAGTATGAAAAAACACTTTAAAACGCATCAAAATGAAAAAACAGAGACAAAAAAGATACAATGCGTATTTTTAAGCGCGTTTAAATCACCACTAGCTGATGATGTGTTGTTTTTTCCGCCAAAACACCTCGATTTATCCATTAAATTATCAAATCAAGACCTATCAGCAGCATTGGTTAGGAAACCGACTAACAAAAGGAAGAAATCACCACTAATATTCCCTCGATTCTGCTGGGCTATGAACAAGCTTACCGAAAAATGGAGATACCGGAGGAGTGGATCCCGCCGGCGATGGAGACGGCGATTGAGGAGGGGAATCCTTGCTCTGATTACGAGGAGACTTTAGTATCATGATACTTTTCGTCACTCTCATACCATCGTCACTTGTGTCCAGGGTCAGTGATCTCTGGTTCGGATTCTGAGCCTCTGATTCTGCAGCTAAAAAACATCACAGATCAGAAGATCATAGATCCGAATATGATCCGAAATGAGAGACTATCTTATCCAAATCCAAATGAGGCGAGACAACCAGCTTATTATCTAGGTATCTAAGTATCTAAGTATGTAACCATCGACCGCAACAACCGCCATTAATACAAATTAGATTTTCAAATTCACATAAACTAATTAACACGAGCTTAAAGTTGTTTGAGAACATATATACGAGTAATTGTTGTGGTTCTTATACTCAATTAGATCAGATTCGATTCATAATGGATTGTATTGCGGGTCGGTGCTTAACGCGTACGAGAAATCAACAAAAGCGTACCCTTGCCGGAATCCGTACGGGAACTAAAAGTAGAAAATTTTCTAAGCTTTCCGAGACCGTCGTCGGGAGGAGGTCCGGCGACGGTGTCATCCCAGAGATGGCTAAGCAAATTCATAGCGCAAGTTAGTGAGTCGGTGCAGGTTAATCAGTGAGTAGTACGGTTGTACTTCGTTCTTCCCCGGCGTTTCTGTAAGAGTCCGTTCATTGGAGACGAGAGTAGGGTATTTATCATCGAAAAGCCGGAGCCATAGACGACGAAAAGAGGCCGTTGATTTAGATCAGAGACCAATCTACGGTCGAGCGTAGAACACGATTATGGGGATAAGATCGGAGTCACATGCTGAAGTGTATCGTAACGTAATCAATTGACGCGTGTATGTCATCGAAGGGCTTAAAATAACAGCCAGGTTACGTATCTTATACGGAGTACTCAGTAGTCTGGTGTGCTTATAATTTTTTCAAGAAAAATGCGTGGTGTACACCGATGTGTACACCTTTTGTGTACACATGTTTGTCCCCAGCAGACAAGTTGTCTGTCCACAGACAACTCTACACTCATGTAGAGTTGTCTGTGGACAGACAACTTGTCTGCTGGGGACAAACATGTGTACACAAAAGGTGTACACATTTGGTGTACACCAAACAAAGTTGTTTTTTCAATTTAACCGATACCGAAAACAAAAATGTAATATACACGGGTCAGTGAGCGTAGTCGAATGGATCACCATCCATTCCCAAGTCTCTCCTTTGAGAGATGTCTGACTCTCAATGATTCTTCTTACCTTCATGGAGTTGCTCAGCGGCCGAGAAGGAAGAGGACGGTAATGAAGGTAGCGAGTTCGTGTGGTAGGAGGAGCAGCTTAAAATGTGATGTAAGTCCTGCTGGATTCATCCTTTGGAGTCAGTACTGACGAGGCTGATTGTGATCAGACCCGGGTTTAACTGTCTAGGGGCTTTGGAGGGTAGTTCATAGACTCCAGGATTATGAGAGCGTAAACCCCGACACCTGGATGGATTATCAAAAAAAGAAGAAAGAAATATATGGAGTAATTGTTGTAAATATGTTTTTTATTTGGACCGTTTTCAATCACAGATCAGACTATATTTTAACAGATTAGATCAGACTAGATTTAAGTAGACCAGTCAGACCACACTTAAACAGACTAGATCAGACTATATCATACTTCCATAGTTATAAAACACACAGAGATCATACATTTTTCAGATCAAACCAGACTTAAACAGATTAGATTAGATTAGACCATCGAATTTCAATCTAAGTAAAACCATCCTAATTAAAGAGAAGAGTCAGACACAATTAGAACTTTAAATTAGTTAATTAAAAATTAAGTCAAAAAATTTTGGGGGCAACCGAAAAAATGTAAATGTATCAAAATTATAGATGGAAGCGTCGTGCTAGTGGTCATGGGAGATAAGTTGATTAGCTTATTAATTAATTGTAGTGCCTAAGTGCTTATTTATTTTCTCGGGTTACTCATCATTATTATATTAATGATCCACTTACCAATCAGATATTCAGATTACGTGTATATTTTATTCATTGTCAGCTGATTTAAGCTGTGAATGGTGGTTACTCCTACTTTATTTAGGAAAATTTATCCAGTAATAATCTGTGTCTCGATTGCATAAGTTTAGTAACGGCGTGTGTTTTGCATAATCTGTGTGTTTCACAAGTCTATAGATGAGTAGATGATCGAACCGGTGGGCGTAGCTCAATTGGTGGCGAGGGAGTGCTATAAGGATTAAGTTCTGAGTTCGAATCTCGATAACTGTGATGAGAGGTTATTATGCTAAAAAATGCATTCGGTCTCTGCAAGTATCGGAGACAGAGTCTCACTCTCTATCTGTCAGATTGTGATTATAGTTCAATTTACATCATCTCAACTTATCGTCCAGTCGGTGTTGGGAGTCCCTCAGAGATGATGTGTCATCCTTTTTTTAGTAGATGATTGAAAGGTAGATGACAACTTTTTAAAAAGTAGAATGAGACTTTTTAATTTGTGTTCTTTTTATTACGAGTTATTTTCAAAGTAACGCTAAATAAAAATTCATTTACGAAAATTAAGGTTGAATTAAAACTCTTTCCCAAAATACTACCGGGTCTAACTAAAATTAATGAAAGCTACCAATTGAAATGATGACTTTCATTGAAAAACATTTCAAACAAAACGAAAATTTATGTGTTACCGCTGTCGGAGCCTAGTTAGGTCTCCATTCGGATTCCACCCTAACCCGTGATCACGATGCAAGTCCATGCTATCCAACCCCGCTCTCTAGAGTCGGGAAGGGCCATGGTCCTTACTTATTCCCATAATTCAACCGACTATCCTCAAAGACTACCGAGCACGCCTGTAGGCCAATCCTATACCTAGGATCAATTTATTATTCACCTTACCTTGGGTATCCCTTATTATTAGTTTTATTTTTCATCATTCCTCTTCACAAAATCTTTTCAAAACTCAAGTTTGAGGAAAGAACCAAACAAATGTGCCTTTATTTCAAAACTTTGTGCATTAAAAAGTGACCTCGAGGGTGAGGTCCAGCTCAAGTGTGAGGAGGTTGCATTTTACACTCAAAAGTTAAAACCTTGTTTTAGAACAATCTTTTTACTATTTTTGATATGAACATTGATTTCTCAATTTGGTATCAATCCCGTAATAGCTTAGAGAATCACTCTTATTATAAGAATTTACTTTTATTATTATTTTTAGAAAACTTGAAATTGTTATGGGTTTTTGATTGCGAATGTGAAGGGCTAAATTTGTTTTAATTGGACATTCATTTTATTCATTAAAACAAAAATGTTATTATCAATAAAACTCTTCAAAACTCATTGTTATAAGACAATTTCATCTCCGAAAAGGGGCTCTGTTTCATTCGTTAATCATAGTCTGTGAGAATGAAAATTTAATAAGCAAACACTTTAAAAAATTAAAGAATTCCTTATAGGCGACATTTTACTCGTGATTGCATATCATGAATGTCAAGCAATATAACAAAAAATATAATTTCAGTTATAAAAATAATCAAATTTACCTAAGAGAACATACTCTTTGTGGATTGATACCATTAGCTACAACATACATATCTAGTTTGTCAATGCCCATACTAATTCCCTAAAATTCAAGGTCACCTAAGTGAGGAATTCTACTTCCATCTATGAGTACAATCATTTCCTAGTTAAAAAAGAAGAAGAAAATTTGAACTCCATACAACTTAAGGAAATAATTACTCCACCTATCATATTCTTGCTCTATAATTTGAAATGCTCAAAGCTTAAGAAGTAAATGATAAATATGCTATAAAGCAAATTGAAATATGCTTAATAAGAGGGCATTGAAGGAGCGCGTCTCTTTCGGGCGACGACCTAGCAACTTTAGCATTCTAATCACCACACCTAAGCCTATGAAGTGTAGCACCCTTGCATATTTGACATCACCCCATGCAGAGGGATGCATGTCGCTTCGGGCAATGACCTATCTCTAATGATATTCATATGTCGATTCAAGTCATGTGATGTGACTAAGTGATACTGTTGGTCGTCACACGCCTACAACTACACCATCATCCTTTATCCTGGTTTGGAACAAGCATGACATAAAAATGATCTTATGGCGAGTTAAACCAAATAAAATATTATAATAGTAAAAATAATAACAATATTAGTGACAACAAAAACAACAATGTAGAAATAAAAAACGAGAAACCAACTTTATGCTGCTTTTTTTTTACTCCAGGGGGCGTCTGGGGGAGGGGAGCTGGAAGACCTGGAGTAATCAGGGTTGAAACTCACTCCATTGAATTAAAATGGTTTTTCATTAAATTTTTTCGATGATGCATGGAAACTCTCAAGGTGTCCGTTTGCATTTAAAATTCACACTTTTTCTTCTACAAAAAGATTAAGGGCCTGTTTACAGAAATATTTTCCAGTTTTTTATTTTTGTTTTTCGTTCTCCAATTTTCTGTTTTTCATTTTCCAGTTTTTCTATCTCCAATTTTTGTTTTCATTTTTTAGTTTTCCATTTTCAAATCTGAAAACATGTTCATACAATTCTTTCACCCGGTTCCGTGACCTACCTAAGGACCGAAAGTAAGGTCCCATTCCGGAACAGAACCTAGTACAACATAAGTAGGGTACCGGGTCCCACATATAGGAAAGTCGGGACTGAAACGACCGATCCTGGTCGATCTCAACAGTTAGTTTGATAAATTCTTTTTCCATTTTTCTATTGGTTGACAACTCAACGGCTCTTTTAAAACTCTTCACTTTAAAAATTTATTTCGAAAAACCGAGACTGAATTGCCGGTTCATTGACTGGTCCAGACAGGGATCGTCTGGTCGTTTATGGGAGTGGCCCGGGACCACCTGATTGTAGATCAGACCGAACCCAGACCGTCGGGTCATTTGCCAGACATGATGGGAACCGTCGTGTCGTTGATCGGACAGGGCGGGGACCACCGGCTGGTTGACCGGACAGGACAAGGACCGTCGGATCACACCGGACCGGACGGGGACCACCGGGTCATTGACCATTTGACCGGACCGAACAGGAACCGTTGAATCATTGACTAGACCAGATAGGACCTAGATTGCTCGGCCGACGGTCGGACCAAACAAGTACCGCCTGATCATGGATCAGTCTGGATTCACTTTTCTATGAGTTATTCGGATCATGCTTAAGTATTTATGCACTTTCACCCAAACACTTCAATATCTGTTTCTGCTCCCTGAAGGAGTAGAAACAGTTTTTAGAAGCAGAACCAAACACCCTAAGTTGTCATTTTAGGATATGCCGAAGGGGATCACTTGTTGGAATATTTCCAATTAATATTGCCTAATGACCAATATTAATATGTGTTCTATATTTATGTATTATATATAATTATGTATTATATATAATATACGTATTATTTGATGGAAATAATACTTAAGGAGTATCATTGTGGCATCACCCTTTAGGACAAATATGAACAGTTGTGACTTTTGGCTTATTCCCATTATAAATATTGTTTGCTCTCCCTTTGTTGAGACTCACGTACCAACACCATCAAGAGGAGGGAATATCACAACTCTCAAAAATATAGTCCATCTATTATTTATCCTATAAGGGATTACACATCCATTTCCTCAAAGCAATGACATCATTTTCCTCAAATCTCTCCCAAATGAATATTGGATATTCTCCAAGTAAGTTCATATG